GAACCATGGCCGCTGTCAGTCACCACGGAGCCGGAGTCACCCAAGTCCACTGGCTGGAGATTTAGTTCATCACGTGGGTTGATCTCCAGTGGACATTCTGGTGCTCAGTTACAGCCTGGGATTGAACTCTGCAGAGGGTAGGCGAGTCACGCACTTACACGTAGATAAAGAATGTGTGTGGGGAGAGAAGAGCAAAGAAAAACCACCCATGAGCTGGGGTTTTAGAAGGCAAAGCCGGCCCAGCCTCCCTGGCTGAAATGCCAGGCCACAAGGAAGCTGGGGGGTCTAGGTGCCCCCTGGGCCTCACTCGTATCCTCTGTTCCCACCAGGTTGGACACTCAGGTTGCAAGAAAGACTCAGTCCTGGTGACCTTTGATGACAGATGTCATCACAAAGATTTACAGGCAGGCTCATAGGGGGTGCGCTCAGAACTAAACCTGGAAGGGAGTAAGTGGGGGGGCTCACTAGGTTGCAGGAACAAGTGGAATATGGGGCCGCTGCAGCCCCACCTCAGCGCTTCCCCTGGGACCTCTGGAACCCAGGCTTGCCACGGTGGCCTGCGGCGTAAGACAGGCCGGCCAGCACTGTGTATCCATGACCCCTGCGGTAAGCTGCCCCCAGCGGGGGGCAGAGCGGAACTGGCACAACCGGCCATGGTGCAGCTGGACCGAGATGCCAGCCACTGGGGAAACGAGGAGTGTGGCACCTCAAGGCACAGAGAAAGTTTGCTATGATCTGGGCAGACAGGAGAAGGGTCCTGGGGCCCTCCACTCTGCGGCATTTTCAGGCTTTTGGTGATCTTTCTATGCCATGTGTAGTGCAGCAACTACGTGCAGGCCAGGCAGGGGGAGGCCAGGCAGGGGGAGGCCAGGCAGGGGGAGGCCAGGCAGGGGCAGGCCAGGCAGGGGGAGGCCAGGCAGGGGCAGGCCAGGCAGGGGGAGGCCAGGCAGGGGGAGGCCAGGCAGGTGCAGGCCAGGCAGGGCAGGCCAGGCAGGGGCAGGCCAGGCAGGGGGAGGCCAGGCAGGGGGAGGCCAGGCAGGGGCCCGAGGGCCAGGAGGCTGGGAGGCAAGTCTTGACTCTTTCTGGGCTCTCTGGCACCGTCTCGTGGCCTCTGTCCTCTGCTCTCTCAGCTTCTGCTGCTGCTGCTTGTACCCCCCTGATGCCACCCTCATCAACCCAGCCTCTCAGCCCAGGTGTGGCCCATTTATGTGTGCTCACACCATACTCCTGGTGGCCATCATCAGAACACCTGCAGGAACACAGGTGTGGATCTTAGACACCAATAGTAAGAGGGCGGGAAACCCTGACAATTTCCATTTACCCTACAAGGGGCGTTGGACGACACCCCCTAACCCCCTCCAAGGAGGGCAGGAGTGGAGCAGAAGCCCGCTGCTGCTCAGCTGGTGCTCAGCCACATTGGCGGTGCACTCTGAACCGGCATGACTGCGAACCTGTCACCTCACACCTGCAGCCTCCGGTCTCTGCTTCCTCTCCCCTCACCGCCATCTGCTTGCAGAGTCATCTTCTCCAGCCTTAGATCAGACCACTGCTCTGCAGTGCTTGACCTCCCAGCCCCGGCTCTTTGTGCTCTCAGAATCACCCCAGAGCTCTCATCTTGGCCTCCAAGACAATGTGGCCCAGCCCCCTGCCTCCCGGCACCCTCACTGCAATCCATACGTGGAACCCCTCTTTTCCTGTCCCCCCTGAGGGCCTTCACCCTGGCTCTTCCCTTCGCCTGGACTACCTCCTGGCTGCGAGGTCTTTCCTGACCAGCCAATAAATGCTCTCTGCTCACCCAGATCCTCCCTTTCCAAGTTCCTCACTGCGCTCTAACTGTGGTGATTGCTAAATGAATGTTCTTGTACATCTACTGGAAAATGGGCATTGTTCTAATAAAATACGAGCTCTCTAAGGTCATAGGGTCAACATCTGGGACAATACTTGGCACAGGGTAGGTCGACATTTGTAGGATGTCAAGTTGAGGGCACAACCTCAAGGCAGAATTTCCCGAAAAGCATCTCATGGACCGAGACCTTCCCATCAAGACGGGCTTGACTGGGATGGGGCCCCCAGCCCAGTAGGGTCAGGGGAGCAAAGTGGCTTCGTCGTCAAACCCAGGGATGCCATGGTCGGTCCATCAGGGGACTCACACGCCTCCTCCTCAGTGGTGGGCCCCCAGCTATTGCTCTGGATGGCACTGCCCTTCCGTGTGCACTGGGTAAGTGAATTAACTAGGCCACTTTTTGTGCCACTAGTTCCTGTGGCTGTCCCCTGTGGCTTGGATCATGTTAACACAGAAGGTGCTTGGGAGTGTGGGCACGGGACACGTGTGCCAGATTGTGGACTCCTGGTGCATGGGTGTGTCCTCACGCATAAGTGTGCACACCTGAAACTTGTAGCCTGGGCTATAAAGAGGACTATGGGTGATGGCCAGGAGAGGATGAGAGGCGTGTCTACAGAAGAGGAGAGGACACCAGGAAGAGCCTAGCGAAGGATAAAGGTTTGTTGTGGGGTGGGGGAGGTAACACTGGGGACCCCCCTGTACCTGGTTGCCACTAGAGTGTCCATCATGATTCGGTGACCACAGTCAGAATGCTCAGCCTTCTCCCATTGGCTGGTGGGGAGGGAACTTCATCTACCTGTGAGCTGCTATCTCTGAGAGGTGAAGACCAAGGCAGGTGAGACTCCGTGACCCAACCGTTTACCCCTTTGCTACTTGAAATCACCTGACATGGAAACGTCCCAAGATTTAAAAAGCTTCCTGGTGCTGAACTTCTCTTTTATTTCAGCCCTCTGCTATCAGATATGATTAAACTAAAATGACTGCTGAGCATCTCCCTTTGTAGACCAGGAGCTGTGTTCGATACGTAACTCGGGACCTGGTCTAAGAGGGCGCTTTGCCAGGTTTGTGATGCTCTGAGACTGGTTTCCTTTCACCGCATTATCTGAGAGATTAAGGAGCTGGGAATAGCTTTCTGTTAGGAAAAATAGTGAGTAAAATAAAACCTGCCAGCTCTTACTTCAAAGATGAACTCATTTTGTTTAAAAAGAAAAAGGGGCCCTCATCTCCTCCCCATAATCTCCAGTGTCATTCCAGCCAAGCTTTGAATACTTTTCACAGACTTTTTAATTTAATGACGATGCTGCACAAGTCCTTGGAATGCTTCAAAGCTTAGCAGGAGAAGGGTGAATTAGTTAGATCTCCACCTTTGTCAAGCCACAAGTGCCCTCTTTGGGGGCAATGTCTGCCTTTTCCCCACCCAGGCAGAGTGGTCCATCTGCATAAAAGTGATCCTTGTGGAAGATATTCTGTGTTTTGCAATCATCCCTAGAAGTAAAATCACAGCTCCTGTCTCACCTTAAGCTGAAGTGTTTTCACACTCCAGGGAATTGCTTACCAGCACCTGAATATAGAATTCGGTGGGCGTGAGGTTTCAAACTGATACTCCTTGCAGCTGTTTTCAGGATTTCAAAAAGGTGTCAAAGTGGCCTTAGAGGGTGTTTCTCATTTTGAGTACGGGTTGAGTGGTTCTCTTCCTGCTGAAAGCTACAGGGCCTCAGGCGACAGGTTTCCACCAGGAGGATACAGTGTGTGGTGCTCTCTCTTGAGAGCTGAGTGGGGGCCAAAGTAACCCCCTTGTCCCAACGCTAGTCTCTAATGCTACAAGAGCATAACTGTGGAGAGAGAAGCAGGGTGCCTTTATGACAATTTGTTATTCCTAATTTCATGTTAATGGAAAGATAGGCAGGCTTCTATTTCTGGGTGGGAAACAACATGCTATAGTGACATTGCATTAAAATCAAACTTGGGGCCCTCCCTAGTGGCGCAGCGGGTTAAAGCACAGCACTAAGAAGCTAAAGCCACTTCCGCATGGGTTTGATTCCCGCCTGCCCTGGAGGTGACCACATGGCGCGGCAGACCCCTCCAGACCCGCCCGCTGCTCCCCTCAGCAGTGTACTTCGTCGATCTGCCTGTTCTGCTCCCCACTCTGTCTCTGGTACAGCCTCTCGCCGCCCCTGAGCCTCTGGCCTGTACCCCAGTTCTGCATATACAAATAAATAAATCTTTAAAAAAAAAAATCAAACTTGGACTTGAATCCAGCAGCCTCACTCACAATGACCTTAGGTAAGGTGCATAGCCTTTCAGTCTCAGTTTCTTGAGCTATAACATCGGGATCATCCCCCGTTTCTACTCAACCTTGTCATAAAGATTTATTGATATGTCATTTTCCTTCCGTGGTTGTAAAAATTCCACATGGCCCATAACTTGACAAGAAGAGCCCACACCCCCTCTCTTTCTACCGCAGTTTATTTAGCCCAACATATGGAAGCCTGGTGTCTGCCAGCAAAGCAGATGTGACAGATGACGCTATCTTTTGACCTCAAGGTCCCTAATGAGGGGTGCTCAGCTGCCTGTGACACTGGTCAGGTCTCGCTGGTTCAAGAAGCTTAATTTTGTGCTGCTCCACAGCCCAGTTATAATTGGGGCTGACGTCACCACTCAGAAAGAACTTTCGACAGCATTCTCTGTCCTTAATAAGAAATTCAAACTGACCTCCAGCCCCCTTCTGGTGGCAAGTCACACGGCCTGGTAGTGCCTCATCTTTATGGGTGCGGGGCCTGGGAGCCAAGTCAGGTCAGGCTCCAGACACTTCATCTCTGCCTTCACCTTCATCCAGCACCCTGGAAGACTCTCCCCAGGTAAAGCTGGACACATGGTGTTTAATAAATCGTCCTAATGATAATGACTTGCATACCTTGGCATTAATTCACAAGTATTAGCTCCACTATTGACTTTGTGCTCTTTCAAATTAACCAGATAATGTTACCAGCAGTTTAGGAACAATTACTTTAATTTTGCATGTGTGGTCCAGCCAAAGGCCATATTTTTCTCCAATATTAATCACTGCAGCTTATACTTAATGAATTTTCATTAAAATCAGTACTGTCTGGGCTAATATGGTTTTTCTCCCTTTGTTCTTGTTTTGTTTTGTTTTTAGGGTCAAGTTGTATTCCGGAATGGGGAACGAATGGGAACCATTAAATTTACTCAATTTCAAGGTAGGCTTTTTGATGCTTATTCTTTCTGGTTGATGAAATCTGTATTCAGGGGTGTTGTGTTGGTACAATAAAATGCATCAAAAGAAATGAAAGTATGATGTTCCAGATAAGCGAAGGCAAATTCAATAGAAAACACTTTTCGGTGAAAACATTAGTTGCCACTAATTTAGTGTATTTTTCTCAACTACATTGCTTCTCAGTCCTATTCAGCTTACCCACAGGAGTCTGAGAGGTTCCTGAAAGTAGGGGACCGGGCAGCAGTTAAGTCAGTTCCAATCGTCTGAGAAACTTTGATTGTTCTTGGTCTTGGTTGTAGAAATTGCATTGTGGTAGTTTTGATTGCAGAAATCATCAAACTCTAAAGTCAAGAGACTAGCAAAATGAAGCCCACATACCTACCACCCACCACAGCCATTATCAACATATTGCCGAATTTGCTTTATCTTTCCTCCTCCCTCCCTCCTTTCTTTCTGTAATGTTTTAAAGCCACTCCCAGACATTATCTCACTCAACCTATAAATACCATAGCATGCATTTCTACCTGATAAGGACTTTTAAAAGCATAACCACTATATTATCACGCCTAAAACACTTAACAATTCTTAATAGCCTTTCATCCTGTCTGTATTGATCCTCTGATTAGCTCAAAAATGTCTGCTGCCAGTTCAGTGGAGAGCAGTTCTGCTCATTGCATCTGGCTGATGTGTCTCTTCAGTCTCTTTTAATCTACAGTTATCACACACACACTTTTTATAGGTCATTTATTTCTCTAGAAAACCAAGTCATGTGTTGGACTTTTACACTGTCAGAGTTTGGGGGGAGGGGGTTGGTTGGCTCTCAGCAATCCCCCAGACCAAGTTGTTCATGAGATGAGGATAAAACAGAGTCCCAGGGAGGGGAGTGACTGGTCAGAGACCTAGGCCCTGGTGAAGAGCAGTGGATGCCCAAGGTCAGCCAGTCCTGTCAGGAAGGAGCAGGGCTGTTAACCAAAACCACTGGAGAGAACATTCATCTGTGCAGTGTTTTTCAGCATCTGGATGTTTCTGGAAAATTCAACCATAAGAGCAGTGTTTCTGTGATTCCTTACTTTGAGCGAGCCTAAAGTCATGCAGGGGATGCTGGAAATGAAATCGAATTAGTCAGATTCATTCAGACAAATCCCAACCAAATTCAGATCAATCAGGAGAGGTGTTCTTCAGGACTAGAGCTCCAAAATGTAATCTCGTAGATTTCCCCATCTGTCTTCTCATGGCAGGTAATTGAAACGCATGTCAGCTCTCTGGTGTGCACAAAAGATGTAATTTTGGGCAAACATAATTATTTCCCCATTTGTTAAGTCTTACTTCTTCATTGGTGGAACAAAGTAAGCCTTGGCAAAGATACTTACTCTTTTTTTTTTTTTTTGAGTGATTGCAACTAAATTCTCTTGTCACATTTCCAGTTCTCATATTATATCATTCTAAGGGAATGTTTTGTAAAATATTGATTGGCCGATCACAGCTACAAATGCATGCTAAATTTATTGCCTTTTTCTCTCTTTGTGTAAGGACTAGAGACCAATTCCAGCCATTGGTTATAGCCATCTCTAGCTTTATAAGGATAGCATTATAGCAAACAGCTCAAGACGCTTATGTGCTAGAGACCTCAGGACAAGTGACTCAGCCTCTCTGGCCTCAATTACCTTCATCTGTAAAATAAGAATATAACCCACCTACCTACCTGGGAAGGTGGGAAGAGCTACATGATATAACACGTATGAACATAAGTGCATATATTTATTTTTGGTCAACAAGTAGTAGCAATTACGAGTCATACTTAGTCAAAAATCATGAGACTTTTGGGGAACAAATCTGGATTTTCTTGGAGTGTTGTGACCCCCTGGTGCCTTTTGGTCTGCCCACCCTAGAGCGTTACCTCCACATTTAATGGAGGATATCAGCTGGAGAGGGCATCAAAAATGATCTCATCCCCACGACTTGATGGTGTAAATGGGGAAATTAAAGCCCCAGGGAAGAGGTGTCCCCAGCAGGGACACACTGGGCAGAGGCCAAGTTGAGACAGATTCTCATTTGCACAAAGTTGCTTCCTGGCCTCCCCTCCCCTCCCCAGAGTGCCAGCAGCTTCCACACACCCACACTCGAGAGTTTTCCTTTTGCCCCATCTGTGTCCAACTTTTATTGAACGTCACAGCTGGACTTGTGGATACTGATCTTTATATGTTTTTAGAAGAGATTGATCCTGTGGACAGAGGGATACTGTGTTATTTGGGGACTGAACTGAACCACGGGAGTGCTGGGGCCATGTTCAAACCAGCACAACAGAGCCAAGTTCAAAGACTCTCAGAGTTACTTTGTCTGCCTGTATAAAGGGACCCTGAATTATTGAATAAGATGTCCAAGTTGGAAGGACTTCTGGTGATCATCGCATTTCACAGAGGGAAACTGAGGCCCAGACCTGGGGAAAGATTTGTCTGGAACAAAACCTGACTCACTGTGGGCTGGTCCAGATTCTGTTTTCTGGGACCTTCCAGGAATGGACCCAGAGGGTAGGCCTGGGCCCCACCTTGGGGTTCATAGTTTGTAAATTGCCTCATGCCATTGTCCTCACTAAAGGCTTCTAAATGGGTCGCTGGTGGTTTTCTGATGTTCCCTTCACTCCCTCTCCTATAGTCTCTTTTTCCCACTCTAGCCTCCTGCCTTCTATTTAGAGGGTCAGTGGCACAGCAAGGCTCATGACAGCTGACTCACAGCCAGCAGCTGGGGCCCCTTTGCAGGGTGCGGTCCTGGACTCACCCCGCAGACAGCCTGGGACCTTGGAAGTGGGCCCAGCCCACCCATCTGAAGATCTCCTGAGACACTTGGGCTTCTCCTTTGCACAAAGCTGCTAGAGCCTTCTAAGTCCTCTTGTAGGAGGCTCTAAAGACTCCTTTGCAAAACTACCATGCAAATGAGTTAGAAATGGGAGGCAGCTTTGGGAAGAAGAATAAAAGAGAAGCCAGGAAGCCACTTCCTTCTGCACTTCAGGATTCCTGGGCTGCCGGCTGGGACCACAGCTCCCGGCAGTCAGTAGGCCCCAGTCCAAGCTGATTGAATTAATTTGGTGGCAGAATACCTGGATTCCAGTGTTCGCTCTGAAGTTTCACAGCAAGGTGACAGTGGGCAAGTCCCTTCATCCCCCTAAAACTTCAGTCTCCCCCCTGCCTGCCTCCTGGGACAGGTGTGAGGCAAGTGACATTTGTCTCTGGAAACTGGCAAGCTCTGGGACGCTCGTGTGCTGTCTGGGCCTGCTGTTGGCTGAGGATGCTTACTCAACAGGTTAATGACAAGGCTGTGGAAATTTAAGAACATCTTCATTGACTCGTGAATTTCAGTGACCTGCTTCAAGGCAGTATGCCTGGCAAACTGTAGCGAAGCCTTGGCCACAGAAATGTGAGCCAAAGCTAATACTGTTCCAGACTGGAGAAACTCCTCTTTTTGCAAACCTGGGAGTGCTGGTTAAAAGGAACTGTTCTAAAATAACATGCCAGGGTAACTCCGTACTATATTTTAAATCCAAGGAGGGGCCTAAGAATGCTCTCCCTCATGCCTGGCTTCTCGCTGCAACTCTGAGTGTGGATTTTGTCAGTGGCCCACCCGTATCCCCGGAGTGTCCACGCCCAGAATAAGCTTCTTAGTAAGGACAGTCACAACGCTTGACCCATGTGAGAAATGGGCCAGGAATCCAGGGAGCTTCTATTTGCAGGGCAGCCCAGAGCCTGTGTGCATGAGCGGTCGGGAGTAAAGAACCGCATCCGTCCCCCTCCTCCCCAAGGTGCATCTGCCCAGTCTCCCAGAGACCCCAGTGACACTGAGCCTCAGTTTCTATCCCAGGTGAAGCTTGTGCTCACTCTTCTCCCTTCCCGGTCTGGGGTTCCCGCACCCGTGTCCCAGATAAATGATGTGTATCCTCCTGCTCTCAGGCACGGTTCTGAGGGAGCCCCTCTGGCTGCAGGTGAGAAGTATCAGCATCCTGCTGACCACACACCTGCATGGAGTAGAGCTAGACCAGAACCCCGTGCAACTGCAGCTCAGCACCGCTCCCCCATGCCGTCTCCAACTTGCACGAAACCACAGTAGATGAGGATGAATATGAGGGAATTGGCTTTTTTTTTCCCCAGGAGGAAAAAAAAGAATCCATGTTACTGGTGAAATCTAAACATGGCTCAGAATTTGCAGCAGGGAAGGAAGTTGAGCGAAGCCATGATTAGAGCCTTGTTTATGCTGTTCTTCGTGAAATCTCAGCGTCTGCTGCTCTCACTCACCGGCCCTGCCTTCATTAGGGCTGTTTGTAAGAATCTCGGTGAATGATAATGTGCTTGAATGTCACACTGCTTCTGTGCAATATAAAAGACTCAGACTTTGGAGTCTGGGATTCTGGCTGCTGATTTAAAGGGATGGGGTCTCCTAACACTGCAACGATGTAATTGTCATTCAGAACTTACCCCGTGACGTGTAGGCTTGTCCCTCTCATTTGCAGACATTAATTACCTCTTGGTCTTCGGGGTGACAGATACAGTTCCATTCAGAGCATTTCCTCAGCATCTGCCAGGCGCTTTACCAAGTCCTCTGGGGCAAGCTAAGTCAAATAAGATACAGTCCGTACCGCCCCCCCCAAGGGGCTTCATAATCTCTCTGGCCAAGTGCCAGCATGCCTATAAAAGCAGGAAGATCATTTCCCGGAACCTACTAGAAAACTTTCAGAGTTGCTTTGACCCCAGTTTGAGACACTTGTCGCAGATTTTTAATATCCTTTGCCTTCTGTCAAGGCAAGAATTATACTCTTCACCAAGCCACGGGGCTGCAAGAGCCCATTTGTCGAGCTGCCACTCGACTTCATATAATTGAGTGGAGACACAGTCCATTAAAGGGCAGGAAGCCCCAGCAGGCTTGTAGTTCAGCGGGAATGGAAGGACAGATGTGAATGTGAAGGTCTGGCCTTGACACTGCCCAGGCCTCCCCATC